CCATGACTTCCTAATGCAATAGCATTAGTTGGATCAATTTCTAATGATTTATTTAAATCTTCAAGTGACTTTTCAAAATCTCCTATCATATAATAAATCTTTCCACGAATTTCCCAAGAATTAGCGTTATCCGGATCAATTTTTAATGATTCATTTAAATCCACGAGTGAATTTTTGAATAAATTCATATAACAGTAAGTTACCCCACGTTGTTGTAATGTAAATGCGTCATTCTCAATTTCGAGTGAACTATTTAAATCATTAAGTGACATTTTATATTTCTTAGTCTTACAGTAATTTATTCCACGATATCTTAATGCAAATGCATCATTTGGCTCAATTTGTAGTGATTGGTTTAAATCTGCAAGTGATTTTTCATATTTATTCCATTTAGTGCGATCCCGGCGATTTCGTATGCCATAAGAATTATAAGAATTATGGCAAGACGATAAATCATATCTATAATAATTATTCCTTGAATCTTTAATTGGATCATAAGAATTATTTGAATCTTCGAACGAATCATAACAATTATTTGAATGAATCATAAAAATTATTTGAATTTTTGAATGAATTATAAATATTATTTGAATTTTCGAATGAATTATAAATATTATTTGAATTTTCGAATGAATCATAAGAATTATAAGAATTATTTGAACCTTCAAATAAATCTTTATCATAATATAAGTTGCACCGCGATGTTTTAATGTAAATGCATCATCTGGTTCTAATTCAAGTGATTTATTTAAATCTGCAAGCGAATTATCATATTCTTTCATTCTTCCATAAATTGCACCCCGATTTCCTAACGCAATTGCGTTGGTTGGTTCAATCATTAGTGATTTATTTGAATCCTCTAACGATTTTTCAAAATTTCCTAACACATAACAAATCCTTCCACGAATTCCTAAAGAATTAGCGTCATTTGGATCGATTTCTAGTGATTTATCTAAGTCCCCAAATGATTTGTCATAGAATTTCATATAATAGTAAGTTATACCACGTTGTTGTAATGTGAATGCGTCGTTCGGTTCAATTTCTAGTGAACTATTCAAATCATAAATTGACATTTCCAATTTCTTCATCTTACGGAAAATTATTCCGCGATATCTTAATACAAACGCATCATTTGGTTCAATGTCTAGTAATTTGTTTAAATCTACAAGCAGATTTTTTTTCATATTTGACTCCGTATTGTAAGACCATAAAGAATTTATATTTATCATAAGGTTAGTTGTACCACGATATTTTAATGCAAATACATCATATGGTTCTATTTCAAGATATTTGTTCAAGTCTTCAAGTGATTCATTATATTTTTTCATTGAAAAATAAACGGTTCCACGATTTTTTAATGCGAAGCTATCATCAGGATCTATTTTGAGAGATTTATTTAAGTCTTTAAGTGATATATGATATTTTTTCATTATACTACAAATTGCACCCCTGTGTTTTAATGCAAATGCATTATTCGGCTCTATGTTGAGAATTTTATTTAAGTTCGCTAACGATTCAACAAATTTATTCATTTTGCAAAAAATTTCATCTCGTTTTTTCATTGCAAATGAATAATTTGGTTCAATATTTGAAGCTTTATTTAAATCTTCAAGTGATTCCTCATATCTATTATTCTCAAAATATATAATTCCGCGAAGCTTTAATGCTTTGGTTCAATTTCCAGCGATTTACTTAAATCATCTAATGATTCTTTATATTTTCCCATGGAATAATACACTTCTCCACGTAGTCTTAATGCATAAGCATCGTTTGGTTCAATTTCTAAAGATTTTCTCAAATCTTCAAGCGATTTTGGATATTTTTTAATTTTTAAATAAGTTGCGCTACGTTGCTTTAATGCCCATATATCATCTGAATTTGTTTCTAATAATCTATTATAAATTTCAAGCAAATCTTTGCTGCTCCACATTTTAGGATCAAATCTTCTGACACTTGAAAGAATTCTACTCGCGGCAGTAATCTTAAGTCTAGGGTAGTTTCTTAAAAGTAACTCTTATCCCTCTATTGAAAAGCATGAACCTTTATTTGAATGTAAAACAAAATCAACAATCCGATTACTTTTGTAAAAAATATATTCAAAGATCTGATCCAATAGTTTGATTGTGAAAACTTTGTTACAATCAAAGGACAATTGAATTGAATATTTAGGGCTTTTGAGTGGACTATTTGCAAAAAGTGAAAGAGCACTATATAGATTTATTTGTCTATCCAGATAAATTTCAAGCCTCCTTAATGGAGTATTAGTTCGATGAATTTGAATAAGTTGTTCCAATGAATAAAGTGGAATTTTTAAATATTCAAGGTTTATTACGTTTTGTATAATAATTTCATGTTGAGTAATATTGTGATGAAATTTAATAATTTCAAAAAAATTAATAAAACTGATATGAAAAGATGTATACCATTCAAGTTTAATTCTTTTAAGTGTATTGCAACTTTTCATAATGAGATCAGATAATAATTTAATAGGGGCATGTTTTCAATAATGTTAAAAGCACCATACGAATATTCGAAAGATGTTAAGTTCGAAAAGGCAGTTGCAAGAGGAAAAGGTGTATATGAGTTTAGCCCGTCACAGCGTTTAAGCTTCAATTTATCGATCTTTGTACACTGAGCCAGTATATTGATAGCTCTGCTATTTAATTGACAAATAGTATAATTAAAAAATGATATTGCTTTAAATGTTACACTTTTAAGTGAATGTTTCTGATCCAAGAGAACTTTAATAGGAAATGATGCAAAATTACTGTCAATCAGTGAGAACTTTTTCAAATGCTTTTGAGAGCGGATAAGAGCCGCTAGTGCTATTCCTTCATTTTCAGAATAAATGCTAGCTTTAAGGTTTTCAATATTATGGCAGTTCTCCGCTATGGCATTAAAAAATTGTATTTTTTGTACTATCCATTTATAGCTGCAGTTGAAATAGGTCAATTTATTAAATATTGAAGTGCATTCAGAAAAATGAGTATTTAGGTCATCATGATAATCTTTAAGGCTATAGATATCAAGTCTGCGTAATCTTACTTCATGCATAATAAATATTTTAAATAATTCAATTATAATATCTTTACTGCATTTGTTTCTATAGCTGCAGTAACGAATTGACCATATGAAAGCTCTTTAAGAAATGAAGGATATTTAAACAAAGGAGGTTTAGTAATCGATAGCCGAATTCTTCTATTATATCCTAATCTGAGAAAAGTACTATCTGGTATAAATGCAAGATAGATTTTTATCACTTTGAAATATTGAACATGCTTGTTTTTAATTTTGAAGGGTGCTTCCCATAAAATTGGAACGGCGCATGTAGCCCAATGTTTTTTAACCAAAAGGCAAGAATGCAAATCTTTATTAGTTGGAAGAAATCTAAAAATAATATCAAAATATTCTGGTGCAAATATTTTATCCATTATATTGTTCGAAAACTTTGAAATAGTTGTGGCAGTAGGTGTAAACTTATCGTACATTCATATTTACAGGCGTAACTCGTTTATCGTTATAGTTTTAATTATTTGGTTACAGTATGCATATGGGCGAATTTTAATTCCATTTAGAGTGGACTATAGATGGCGGTAGAATTCAAAAAAGTAAATTTTAACAATGAAAATGATTATTAATCATTTTTATAATTTCCATTTTTTGAACTTTACCGCCATCTATAGAGTGGACTGAAATAGAAATATGTGATATACATACATATTGGGGTATTTCATATACTAATTAATCGTAATTATGTAAGGTAACATAGTAAAAATTACTAGTACAGATTTTTTTACATATTATTTAATATTTATGAACCCGTGTAGATCCTCTTATGACCAGAAAAATCATTTTACCAATCGAATTTCAAATTAGTTGTGTAACAGGTAATGACCGTTATTTAAATATTTGAATAAAAAAATCGGTATTTTTTACATAAATAATTTTTTGAATAGATTATCTGCATTTTGAACCCGTTGTATATCTGAATAGAGATTTGATGAAACAGAATCTTTTTTGTAAGCCATTCTATTTTCACTTCGAATGTCTTTTAATTGTTTATCAGTAAATTGAAATTCTTTAGTTGCCGAAAGGCGCATTTTTGATTGTTGGGTATCAGCTATCATGTTCGAGTGAGTTTTCAAATCCCACTTGTTAAATAATCCCTCAATTTGTTGCTGGTGAACAATAATATACCAAAGTTTGTTTTTAATGAATTTATATAGCCGCGGGTATTGATAAAGTGAAACAGTTAACTCACAGACAAATGAACTAAATTCTTGGAAAAACATTTCATCTGTTAATGCATTTTTGAAACCAAAATCATTAAAGTTTTCTTCCATAATATCTATTTCAAGATATTTTGCATAACAAAGCTCTTTTAAACTAGGAACATTCGGCCAAGGCTTTTTAAGCACAACATTCCAATAGCTATGCGCAAATTGTTGTGCATTATCTCTACCAAGACGACACATGCTTAAGGAAAGGTGAAGCCAACAATTTAACCATTTCTGTTGTAATTCGAGCCCTTTTTGAATTCCTCGTTCTAATTTTTGAACCAATATTTCAATTTTTAAATCATCCATAACTTCCGTACTCTGCAGAAGCTCACCTCCAAAAAATGAATAAAGACCTTCCAAGGTACTCGTGAGCTTACTTGTTGACTTGACAATAAAATTTGGCATTTGGTGTGCATGACGACTAGACGGTAAACATTTTAGTGAGTTGTCTGACTCTACAATTCTCAGTTGAGGATTGTAACTGACAAGGAATTCAGCAAATGGATGGTAAAATTCCTGGCCAAATTTCACTAGACATTGTATTTCGATATTCAATTCTGGGTCATCAAGCCAATTTTGAAAAAGCTCCCATTTTTGAAGATACGAACTTAGAACTTTTTTTAGATTTCTTAATTTTGAAAGAAACCATGCAACAAATTCAATATGAACTTCACGCCTTTCAAGAAATTGTTCAGCCGTAATTAATTCATATTGCCATCGTGATCGTAGAGGATACTGATATTTATCTAGTTGATAATCGAGCCGTTCTTTATAAAGACTCTTGATCGTTTCACCTCTCATATTTAGTGGTAAATCTTTATCACTATGGTTGTACCCATCATGTAACAACCATGTCAAATAAAGGAGGTTAAATGGATGCCGTGTTTTGGAAAATCCGGTAGTTGCTAGAAGTTTACCGAAGGCCGTTTCTTCGAAATTGTTTAAAATTAAATATAGAACATGTAATCCACAAGGAATCTGAAAACAATTACTATTAGCCAATCGATTAAATTTTGTTACAGCACCTCCAGCCGAGCCGCTCATGTAATTTGTATTAT